TTCATATCTTCCGACCAGTTTCATGACTGATCCACGCTCCATTGGGACCGCGCGCACGAGAGAGAGAGAGAGAACCCAACCTAACTAACTATGCGCCTCCCCCCACACACGATTAAGTATAGTATATGCGTCGATCGGTTTCATATCCGATCCTCTCTCTTCAAACGATCAAGCGTAGTAACTGCTCTGTTCAGTTTCATGTCTGATCCGTGGTTTATCGAGGCCTTTTTCTTTAATCAAAGATAAAAAAAGCGCGTGCGCGCGCGAGAGAGAGAGAGGGAGGGAGAGAGAGAGAGAGAGCCTAACCTAACTAACTATGCGCCTCCCCCCATACATGATCAAGTGTAGTATCTGCTTCGATCAGTTTCATATTGATCCTCCCCCCCACTCGATCAAGCACAGTATTTGCTCCGCTCCGTTTCATATCTGATCCGCGGTCCATCAGAGAGAGAGAGAGAGAGAGAGAGAGAGAGAGAGAGAGAGAGAGAGAGAGAGAGAGAGAACCGAACTAGGTGCCTCGCTCCCCTGTCCCCCCCAACGATCAAGAGTAGTATCTGCTTCGACCAGTTTCATATCGGATCCTCTCTCCCGGCACAATCAAGCGTATTGTCTGCTCCGTTCGGTTTCATATCTGATCCGTGGTTTATCAAGACCTTTTTTTATTTAAAAAAAAGAAAACAAAAGCACGCACGTGCGCTTACGCATGCGAGAGAGAGAGAGAGAGAGAGAGAGAGAGAGAGAGAGAGAGAGAGAGAGAGAGAGAGAACCCAACTACATGCCTCCCCGCCTCCAACAGAAACACGATCAAGTGTACCTCCAGCAGAAACACGATCGCTCCGCTCTGTTTCATATCTGATCCGCGGTCCATCGAAGAGAGAGGGATAGAGAGAGAGTGTGTGTGTGTGTGTGTGTGAGAGAGAGAGAGAGAGAGAACCGAACTAGGCGCCTCGCTCCCCTGTCCCCCCCAATGATCAAGAGTAGTATCTGCTTCGACCAGTTTCATATCGGATCCTCTCTCCCCGCACAGTCAAGCGTATTGTCTGCTCCGTTCGGTTTCATATCTGATCCGTGGTCTATCAAGACCTTTTTTATTTAAAAAAAAGAAAAAAAAAGCACGCACGTGCGCGCACGCGCGAGAGAGAGAGAGAACCCAACTACACGCCTCCCCGCCTCCAACAGAAACACGATCAAGTGTACCTCCAACAGAAAAAACGATCAAGTGTAGTATCTGCTTCGATCAATTTCATATCCAATCCTCTCTCCCCTCACGATCTGCTTCGGTGTCATATCTGATCCGTGGTCCATCGAAAAGAAAGCACGTGTGCACAAGAGAGAGAGAGAGAGAGAGAGAGAGAGAGAGAGAGAGAGAGAACCCAATCTAACCCAACTACGTGCCTCCCCCCCCCACCTCCGCCCCCGGAAACACGATCGCGTGTAGTATCTGCTTTGATCAGTTTCATATCCGATCCTCTGCCCCCGCACAATCAAGCGTAGTATCTGCTCTGTTTGGATTCATATCTGATCCGTGGTCTATCGAGAACGTTTTTATTTAGAAAAAAGAAAAAAAAACCACGCGCGCGGACGAGCGAGCAAGCGCGCGCGCAAGAGAGAGAGAGAGAGAGAGAG